GTACTGGTTCTCCCCCTTCACTGGCTCTGTTACAAGGGTGGTTAGGGGTTTCCCACCCTCCTCCTGTACGGTCCCTTTCCCCCCCTTTTTTCCCTCCCAAGTTTCTTCTCTTCTCCCACCCCCCAGGTTTCGGGCCTCTTCTTTTCCCTTTCCCAGGGTTTCTCCATTTCCCCTTTCCACCCTTTCCCCCCCCCCTTACCTTGGTACAGCCCCATTACAGTTCAATCTTTATCACCCTCCCCCCTTTTCCAATATTTTTCTCCATAGACGTCTTTAAATTTCTAAAAACCCTTTGGGAAGCAATTTTTGGGAATATATTCAGGGGCCCAAAACCATAAGGGGACAAGACCCACCCCCCGGCCTTCTCTCTTCTCTACTCCATCTGCGCAATCCTTTTTTCCAGCGCCCCGTTCCTTCGTGTTTGAAGTTTTCCACTGCCTCCGCTTGGGAAATTTTCAAACCCCCTCTACCGTAGGAACCCTTACCTGGGGAAATTTGGGTTTATCTTTTTTTGGGCCAATCAGGGCCTTTTTACAGTGGAATTTTACGCCCCTCAGGGGTAATCGGGGGGGACCCTTAAGGGGTTACTCTCCAATTTTTCCCCCTGTTGGTGTTTGCTTACATAAAAAACCAAAAGCCAAAGGGGAAACCAGCAAAAGGCCTACGGGCCCCATGCGAGGCAGGCCAAAAGTCCCCTACGGCCCTTAAGCCAATTGCCCCAAAAACCCTAGTCAGGTCAGGTCACTTTGATTTAAAGGGAGGAACACGGAAAACCGCCCGGGGTAGCCAAGCTATGGGGTCCAACTACACCCCCCACTTTCCACTCAGTTTTTACCCAACCTTTTTTAAAAGCTACACAACGTTTGGCCTCTAAAAATGTATTTAGGGAGTTTGTTCCACTCATCCACAACTCTATTCCCAAAACCCATTATTTTCCCTTTAACCCTTCCCTGTTTCTAAATTTTTTCCCAATTTAAAAAAACCATTGCTGCGAGCCCTTTTGTTAGGCTAGTTTATTTTCAGCACCCCTTTTAACCCCCCTTTATTTTTCCCCTGTTTCCCCCCCCCTTTATACCTCAATCATACCCCCCCTAATTTACGTTTTCTAGAGATTGCAGTTTCGGGCCCCTTTAAAGTTATCCCCCATAAAAAAGGTTTCTGTTTACATGGGATCAACTTTTTTCCTCCTCCTTTGAAAATTTTTCCCAGGAATTTAAAACCTTTCTTTTAATACGGTGCCCCAAAAATTTGGGGCAGCTAATCTAAATGGGGCCCTTTAAACCAAGGATGTTAGGGTTGAAGAACAACCTGAGGACCCCTATTATTTATGCTTCTTGATATAAACCCAAGGGGTTTCATTGCTTTATTGAAAAAACACTTATGCCTGTTGTTTTTTTTTTCAGATTACTGCCAAACCCAAGAACCCCTTAAATCTTTTTTCCCAAATCCGTAATTTGTGTTATTTTCCCCCTTTCCCCGGGGGCTATAATTTTTTGTATTCTTCAGTTCCTTTTCCTGAGGGGCCCTTTAATGAAAGTCCCCTTCTTCTACCCCATGATATTCCGTCCCCATCGCTATTTGTTCGTACTTCGCTGCTTTTACACGCACCCCGGGTATCCATTTGCTTGGGGTGGTTTTACGCTCTGTTTTTATATCTCTCTCTTCTGGGGGCATTATCTTTTCCCGGATATTGCCTTTCTTTTTTCGTCTTTAAACCCCACCAATTCTGTTATTGGTTTTGATTTTAATCCCAAAATTTTCCTTTGGGGGGGTCTCACTGTGTTTTCCCGGGGCATTCAGTTGGGCTTTTCTTGCCCCCCCACCCCCTCCATGTTTTAAAAAACGGGTTATCACACCCATTTTGTTTCCTGGGCTCACACTCTCTCTTGCATCGATCTCTCAGTTGCTCTTTCTCCGCCGCATTAGGATTTTTCCTGGTCTGTTCTTCCGACTTACATGACAGTGATTTTTTTCCCCAATCATTTTTTCTTCCCTTTCAATTTCACCACCTTTTGGGCATCCCACGCTGGAAAAATTTGATCAGGAAAATTGGCCTTTACTAAAACCTAACTTTTTTTAAAGTTGGTTCCTTTTCGTCCCCCCATCGATAGTTTTTTACACCTCTTCTACCTCCTTTTTAACCCCCGCTTTCATTCTAAAACCCCAAAATTTCGGGCAGGCTTTCCCCGAAATGCGTGCCTTGGTGGTTCCGCTTGTGCTGTGCAGTATGTTTAAAACGCGCTGCAGGGGGCAGGTCCCGGTTTACAAAGAACCCAGAGAGATTCTTGTTTTTAAAGCAAAAGGTGCGATCCTCGCCGTGTCACCCGTGATGTAAACGCCCCTTGTTTGGCGGGGATTATGTCCCCACCATCACCTTGCTTCCTCATGATTTGCAGTCTGGAAAAAAGTACAAAAATGAGTGGTAAAATTTTCCTGCCCCGGTCCGGGTTCTGGGGTTGCCAGTTTTAATTTTAAAACCCAAACCCCCCTAGATGTTCCCAAGGAAATTGGAAATTCATTGGTCCGTATTTTTTGGGGAAATCCATCTATCCCCCCTCATTTTTTTTCCCTCAAAGTCTCCGGAGGTTACCCTTTTGGGACTTTTTTCTCTCAGAAAAGAACAGTTTTAATGTGCCTTTTCCCCTTTAAAAAACTGGGGCAACCCCCTCTAAAGCTTCCCGACCCTTCGGAAAGTGGGCCCGACAAATTTCATTTTCGGGGTGCAAACAACATTTAAATCGGGCAGCCCTTGCAGTCCTATTTACGCCTTTACAATCTTTTTTGGGTCAAAAGGATTTCTTCCACGGGCTGTGGAAACCGCCATTGTTCCCCCTTTTCCGCAAACCGGGGCCCCCTACGGGAATAAAAACCCCCCCACTATCGTCCCATTGCTTTTACCAGTGGAGTTTGCAAAGTGATGGAACCCCTAGTAAATAGACTTTTTTAGTGTGGTATTTGGGAAGACCCCAAAAACGTCTTTTCCACTTGTAATATGGCTTGAAAGGGGACATTTACCATAGCCCCCCTTATACGCTTGGATAGTTATGTTTGTAACCCTTTTGCGAAAAACCCAATTCATTTTTTTTGCCATTTTTTTTTGCCCTTTTGAGAAGGCATATGACAAAAAATTTGGGGGTAAAATTTATTTTAGCCCAACCCCAAACCCCCTTTTTAGGCCTTCGAGGCAATCTACCCCCTTCCCTTAAGAATTTTTTAAAACAAAACGGGGCATTTCCTTTTGTTGGGGTTAAAAATGTGCTTCCCGGATTTTAAAAAAGCGGGAAGGTGTCCCCAGGGATGTTTTCCCTGGCACAAAAACTCTTTTTTCCTTTGGCTTTAATGTTTTGGGGCCTTCTAGTCTTCCATCAAAAAATTGGTCTTTAACCCCTATTTTGAGGGATTTTCGCTATTGCCTGTGCAGGCGTGACTGTCACCTTTTTCCCGTTTCTTCCAGCATGAGTGGGGACCGTTTTTCAATTGGGGGCCACCCACGGGGGTTTTAAAAATTTTCCAGCACAAAAAACCCACCAAATTACTTTAAATAGCCCCGTCATCTCGATTTCCTTTGTACCTCTATGGCTCCCGTATCCTGACGTGTTTACAGTCAAGTTTCTGGGTTCCCTTTTTGATCGTGGGTTATCCGGGAAAACCTCACATTACCTCTCTGAAGGCAACTTGTCACACCCGGCCCCTGAACCTTCTTAAACCTTTCCCCATTTTTTCTTTGGGGAGTGATCGTCGAAACCCCTTTTTTTTTTTTTTGCCTGATTCACCCTTATCTTATGAAACTTGATTTGGTGACCCGGGTCTTTCAGCGGCATTCTTTTACTCTCTCTAGCCTTAACCCCATTCAAACCCCCAAAGGGTTACGTTTATGCCCTTTTTGCTTTTCGCTTTCCCCCGTCGAGAGCCTCTTGCGAAGCGAAAGTTTCCCTTTATTCGATCGCCCTGAAGCCATTGCCTTCGTACTTTGTACGCTTTTCCAAGATCTTCGCAATCCCTTTCCCTTTTAAAAATGGTCATGGATTTTAGTAGGGAAAATTTTTTGTTCGCCGCCCCTGTTTAATCCCCTCCCCTTTTCTCTTTTGCCCTTTATTCGGTCTTTTTTCTTTCAATTACCCCCTTTCTATGTACATGTAGCATCTAAATTTTCCTTAACCCCCCGGGAAGTTCCAGCTGTTTGAGTCTGGTTTTTTTCTCTCCCTTTCTCGAAAGGGCCCAAATGTCTTCGGGGCGTTCCCCCTCTTTTTTCTTTACCCCTTTACCATTCTCATTGCCATTGTGTGTACACAGATGGCTCTAAATCTTTGCCCGGGATTTTTATTCGCAGCAGTGGCCCTTCCGGACAGGTGTACAAGGGCATTTTCTATTTCGGCTAGTATTTTCTGCTGAATTGTATGCCTTTCCCCCCAGCACTTATCCCTATTGATCTATTCCCGTGTCTCCAAAATTTTGGGTTTTCTCAGGGCTCCCCTTTGTGCTTTTTTCGGCTGGGACAGAAAAATTTTATTCATCACCCCTTAGTCCCCCGTATCCCAAATTTGGCTTTTGCCGCATCTTTAACCCAAAATTAAAAAAAGCTGTATTTTTTTAGGGTCCCCGGTCTTGTTGAGTAAGGGAAATGAACAGGAAGGGGCAGGGTGCCCGGTCAAACAGTAATGACCTCCCGTTTCATGGGGAGGGTTTCCCTTTCGGATATTTTGCTGCCCAAAATTTCCCAACTTCACACCCGTTGGAAAAACGTTGGGTTTCTTTGCTCGGCAACAAACTTCAATCATTAAACCGAAATTTTAAAGGGTTTCGGGCCCCTCTTCTTTTCACCAGTGTCGAGGTTGGGGGACTACTCTTTCCCCTCTTCGCCCTTGGCCATACTCGTCCCTTTCTCTGGATAAACTCATGGAGAGGCGCCCTGCTCCTCTTGGGGAAAATTTCCCGTTCCCTTATCAGCAGCCAATTTTTGTTGGACTGCCCACTTTTTTCAAAAGAGCACACGAATTTACCTCCGTCGTCATCTTGCCCCTTTCTGCCTCTCTACCCCTTTCCCCCCCAATTGGGGTGGGGGGGGCCCCCCTTTCATCCGGACACTCTCTTGACTTTTTGACAAAATGAATTGCCCTTTACAAATTCTGATACCCTTTAGCCTTTTCTTCAATTTTTGCTACCCTTTTACCCCCGTTCTTTCCCCCGCCCCCGTTTTCTGTAACCCATGATATTTCCCCCTCCCCTTTTGCCATCCAAAAAACCCCGCTTCCTTCCCTACCCCGCACGCTGCATAGCCCCTTTTGGGGTTTTCGCTTCTTTTTTTATTTTTTAAAAAAAATTTTTTTAATTAACGCTCAGCCAAATTTTAACATTTTTGGCAGTTAACCAAATTTTGGTTTTTTAACCCGTTGCCCGGGGCTGAGCCTTTAACCCGTCCCTAAGGCCTTCTGTAATTAGTGGGCAATTTGGATGGTTTTAGTCTCCCCGGGAAGTCACACCCCGAAATTTTCCAGATTCAAAAAATTTTTCTTTTTTCGGTATTTATCCCGAGTAAAAGAATCATCTGGACTTTTATTTTAAATTTTTTCCCAAAGCTGTCTAATTCCCCAAAAATTTTTGTACTGGCTCAACCCAAACCTCATGGAAAAATTTTATGGGGGGACTTATGAGTAAGCCCCACAGTTATGGGATTTTTAGTTTCCTCTAGTCATGAATTATTTATTACGAGGGGAAACTACCATAAATTACATGGCCCCCTGTAGTCTTCAAAAGGGTGACCCCACATTTTTTTACCATACCCTTTTTAAAAAAGGGGCATAAAAAGTTTACTAAATATCAAAATATGATTGGGCCCACAGAATATCATTTTCCCCCGAAGGGGCTAAATTTACATTTGTGAAAGTCTTTCTGTTGCTTTACTAAGCCCCACTGTTAAAATTTTCTCTGGAAGTCTATCTACAATTTTCTGCATTAACACCCTTTTTTTATATTTCCCACCTTTACAGTTAAATAAAAGTCAAACAATTGAGCCCTTTTATCCGAGAGAAAACCCGATAATTTTAGAGTTTTAGGATTTTCCATCTTTTACTTTCATACCATCAAGACATTTACGTTTAATAAAATGTACGTTGGGATCCCGGGTCTAATAATGCAGTTACATTTTTTGAATTATGCCTTTCATCAATTTTTACCTGTAACACAGGTAAGGCTACTTCAGCAAAACCATCATTATTAACATTAGCAGCAATTTTTACATTAGCTACTGTTGTGTCAGGATTGTCAACATTATCATTATTATCAACATTATCATATAGACCTTTTGGTCAGTGGAATCCCTTTCCCATCTGAACAAAGAAACCAAATGGAAAAAAAAAATAAAGAAACGACTAGGAAAAATAAGAATAATGATTTGAGGATTTTACTTAAAATTTAAATATAATAAAAAGAAATGAACTTCGGTTCTTGTAGTTGGGCAGGAGTAGGTAAGGCCCTGGATAGATCTTCTGATATTATTGATGTAGGTTATCCTGGGCGGATAGTGATAGCCCGATTTTTTGGGAATCTCCTACACTTGATGGAGCACCACAAGTAGAACAGGTAAGGGCCAGTAGTAGTCCAATAATGTTAATAAGTCTCATTAACACATGTCTTGCTCCTTTATCTGGCGTCTATCCTGGATGACCACGCCAGGAACGGGAGCTGGTAAAAAGAAAAAATAAACTGGTTCCCAAATGGTCATGCTAAAAATAACATTTAAGAATGGAAAAGAATGACAAAAGCCAAATCATTACTGTAACCAGCAAACAAAAGAAAGGAACCAACAGTAATACTCCTGGTAGATCACCCTACCTGATTAGGAGAAGAGTGGGGGTGAAGTGACTCTCCAAACTTCAACCCACACCAGGTAAGGTCAATATTACCAGGAGTAAAAATTTGAACAAATCAGACACCAAGAACTAGTTTCGCCCCAGCCCGCCAGGGGGGGGTGGGTGCGTGCGAAACCTCTAATGGTTCCTGGTTGCCTGAAAAACCCTTTAAAACCCCCCTTACCCCCTATTTTTCCCCTCACAATCCCCCCCTTCCAAAACTTATGGACGGAGTCAATAAGTAACGATAGAGGGAAAAAGAACTAAATCAACCTCGGCTCAGCCAATCTGAAAAGTGGTTTTCAGAGCCAGAAATATAAAAGACTTTAAACTTATAGGGCTGAATAGCCAAAAGCCCATCTCAAGAGTCGGCTATTTGACCCTTTAAAGTTTTCCAAGTACATCAGTGGCTTGTGATCTTTTTTCAAGCACAAAGGGTTACCGTATAGGTAGTATTTGAATCTACTTATACCCCATACTAAAGCATAACATTTTTTCTCCACAGTGGAATATCTTTCTTCTCTGGGCAGAAGCTTCTTACTGGCGAAAGATACTGGGAAAGGTGTCTCCTCATAATATTGAAGCAGCACAGCCCCCCGAGTCCAGAATGTGAGGGAAACTATTCAGAGACAAAATATTTTATTTTAAAATCTGGTAATTTTAGGACAGGGGGGTTTGAAAATATCCCTTTTTAAAATTTTTTCAAAGCTTTGGATGGCTTCTTTAGAACAACAAGAGGTTCCTGACACCCTTTTTCAATAGTCTGTAAAAACTGAAGTTAAACTACTTAGATTTGGTACAAAACTTCTATAGAAGTTTACAGATCCAAGGAAACTTCTTAATAACTTTTTGGTAGCAGGGAACGTACTTCTAAAACAGCTTTGGTCTTTATTAGGAAGTGGTGAGAAGTTGTTGTCAGAGATAATGAACCAAGGTATTGTACCTTATGATAAACCACAAAAGTGCTTTCTTGGCTAACTGTAAGGCCATGAGTTCTTAGTCTTTTCAAAACAAGCGATAGTGTATTTAGATGGTCTTCCCAGGACACTTGTCATGATTAAATAAATTTTCAAAATACACTGAAACATTCTTTAGATCGAAAGAACTATTCTCATAAAAACCTAAATACGTGGCACACGTAAATTTTTTGTGGACTGCTCCAAGTGGGGTCGCCTACCCTAGCAAACTCTGTTGACACCCAGCTCTGAGGTGGGGACCTCAGCCTCACAAGTGGCTTATAGGACAGATTTTCACAAATGATTGGTATTGCAAGAAAACTCGCCTGCATGCACATATAAAGGACTAACTTACTTGGTGTTGCAGCATATATCCTGATCTTCACTTCTCTATGCTTAGCTTTAGCCCCTTTGGACTTCCCCTCAGAAACCACGTGCAACCGGGAGCCTTAATTCCTGCAATATTCAATCGTAATTAGTGTCCTGCCTGCACCTCAGAAATTCCTATATCCAAGAGGGTATGTATCCCCTAGTATAACTATGCAGACTCAGACACTAGCTTCCAGACTGCCCTGAGACACTGGTAACTTACTGGGCATTGCTCAACCTGTTGCAACGGGCCCACAGATCGACTCACTCACAATCTCCCAAGACACTGGCCAGTAAATCTACGAGATAATGGTGAAGGTCTTGTCTTACTGTATGGACCTGACGGAGGAGGTCATCTACGGTACATCGAGGTGCCTCTACCAGATTTACCCAAGTCTCAGATGTGAAGACACATGGGGGGCGCCGTCTGCTGATCACGGCACGTGTTGTCCAGTTGGTGTCTGTCTTAAGAAGAACGAGCTGGTCTCTCTCCCATACCCTCGTCTCTTCGTTCAAACTAGGACTGCCAGTCCTCCCTAGCTAACTTATCCTAGTGTTTGCCTACATTATCGGCCTATTACTACCTAGTTAAGGTCTTAGGTCTACATTATTATTATCTACAGTCGCCTTAGTAAACCTATTAATATACTAACAGTAAAACTACCTACTCCTTCCCTGAAGAGTAAATCTATAAATTAAATACATGCCTACCAACAATCCATCGCCAACCAGAGAATGCTTTCATGTTTGGGTGGGGTATAAGGGCCATCCAGCTCAGCCGTCCGTACGGCCATGCTGGATCTTAAAATAATGAATCCTGTGATACTCCAATACTGAAACTATGTACTGTGCCAAAACAAAAGCATTCACATTGCTAAACTCACAAACTAGTATTTAGTCACTTAGCCATAATACCAACTTACCTCATAATTTGTAATATTTTACAATTAAGAATAAAACTAAGTCTGCCCGAAATGCCTAGCCATGCTAAGCGTTCTAGTGGTACACTCTGTAATCACCATTTTACTACATGTAAACCACACAATAACCAAATTTCTGTAAACTCAGCATTGTAATCCTTATAGAGAATAAACTTTAAATTTGAATTTGAATTTGAAAGGCATTGTGCGATATTGCCTTAGACCTCTGAGTAGGGAAAGCAGTGTATGGTTTCGAGTCTGGGTGTAATGGCACTTGATGGTATGCTTGTGAGATGTCTAATTCTGAGAAGAATTTGCAGTCATGGAATTTATACCAAGTCATGATCAATTACTGGCATGGGTTCTGCATCCCATTTAGTTATAGTATTTAAATAACGAAAATCTTGTGCCAGTCGGTAAGAATTATCGGGTTTCTTAACCATAACTGGTGAACAGAAAGCTGATTTCGAAGGTTCTATGATGTTTAAGTTAAATAGTTTGTCAACCTCATTATCAAAAGTTTTCCCTAAGTGAACGGGAACAGGGTAGATTTTCCGCTTTACTGGTTCATGATCCGACAATTCAATCTTCTGTACAATAGTGGTGGTAAGTCCTGGTACCTCTGAATACGTCAGAAAATGTGTTTACTAAGGCACTTACTTGAGACTTGTTTATTTGACAAGTCGTTGTTAATGTTGACATTTGACTTCTTTGGCGAGGGATCATGCGTTAAGATATCCAGTAGTTCCTTCGATTCTGTAAAAGACTAGTCATTTATAATACAAACTCTACACTCGTACGAATCACCACTTGTAACCAAGCTGTAAGAAGTATCTTCGTCAAAGGAATTTACACAAAGATTAACTTCTCTTCGATGGTACCGTTTCAAAATATTGACGTGATACATTCTCTCTTTACC